TTCCGCCGCAGGGTCATGTCCACCGTCTCCCAGCCATTGGTCATCACCTGCAGGCAACACGTGGGGTCTAGCCTCACAAGCTGCTCGGGGTCAGCTCTTGTGGGAGATTCCTGGTCAGATTCTGCCCTTTGAGGCCAAAGACCCTGCTGACCCCCATCTACCCTCCCAGGTGATGTCGGGGTACGGGAGCGCAAACACCCACCTAGTCCCAGCCCGGGGTTCCTGACTTGTGGAGAAACGTGGATACCTCACACAGAGGTGGCGGTCATGAGCTGTGATCTCCAAATGCCCTCCCCCCACCCCCCGCCCCACCGTTGGTGGTCTCTGGGACTTGTTCTGGCCAATGAAGTGTGGAATGGAAATGGCATACTGTCTGGGCTGGGGCATTTCACTGCCAATTCAAGACCCTTTGCAGGCCTTTCCCCTCAGCCACAGCCTCTAGGATTATTCCGGAGAGTGGTTGTTTGGTCAGCTAGGGTCCCGAAGTTAGAATAACGTGGAGCACAGGCACCAGCTGAACCTAAGATGGATACGTGGTGGGAGTGACATAAACTTTTGTTATCTGAAGCCACTCATAATGCATCCTGACCGATATGGTGACTGTGACCAGAGTAAAAGCCAGAGAGACAACAGACCAGAGATCCTGCGACCTTTTCTAGGTTGGGGGCTTGGGCCATATTTTTTACTTCATGACATCATTCTTAGAGGTACAAACCCCTTCCCAATCTCCTTCCCAGACCGTCCCCCATCCTGGAGCCGACCAGACCACACAGGGCCATGCCTCCAATTTACTCCCTGCTTCACTTGTATGAGACTTTCGTCATGATTACCATAGATATGAGAAGCCACTGAACAGAACCCCTGGTTCTTCAGCAGGTCCTGAGGGATTCCCTCCTCTTCCTGGGACAAAAAGATTAACTTAACAAGCCATAGCTGTTAAACAAGTGACATCAGGATTTGTCTGCCCTATCCTAAAACTGCATTAAGGAAAGCGTTCGTGTAATGGTTCACGTTTCCTGTGAGAAGTCATTCCCTGGCTAGAAGGCTACCTGATGTACCTATTAGAGTAGCACAGTAAGAAAGAATTTTATGTCACAAGCCACGCTATGCATTCACACATTTACGCACGTATCCATATACACAAAAATATTCCTTGCAATCCACACTGACATTCCCGAGTGTGGGTAGCGAGAAATGAGTTTGGATGGCAAAAGACTTGCCTGAAAATGTAAACACATTTGTTCCTGGTCTGGACAGTGAGAATTTGGGAAGTGAGGAAACATGTAACACTGGAACAAAGCTCCACGAAACCAAGTCCTTCCCCACTGGGATCCACTTGGATACGTTTCAATCTTTTCTACGCTATCTTTGAGAATTGTTGATTGAGACCCAGTAATTGATTTCATAACCCAACTTGTTTACATGACAATAAGGAGTTACTGTTAATTTTTTATGTATGATAATGACAAAATAGTTATTTTTACAGAGTCCATATGTTCTAGAGATAAATGTTGAGATGTTTACTGATGAAATGATAGGATGTCTAGGATTTGTTTCAAAATAATCAGGGGAAGAGAAGGGAGGGAAGGGAAAATCAAGACAGGCCACGGGCTGATAACTATGGAAACTGGTGATGGAGCTACAAATTCACTACGTGAGTCTCTTTACTTTTCTGTATGTTTGAAAATTTCCACGATTAATAAGTTTTAAAAAGTTGGTTGGAAAGGAAAGTCTACTGTTCAGTGCCTCAAAAGAGAAAGTTGTGGGTGGCTCCATCCTAGACCACTACTTCTGCTTTGGGAGTCAAAATTCTTCTTCCCTTTGAAGCCGTCACCCTTGTGTCCGAAGAATTTGGCTGTGGGTGATTCACAGGAGAGTCCTGTGTGTCCGTGCCTGTGCCCGATTAGGCAGCACCAGCCCTGGGAGTCCCGGGCTGTTCCGAGAGCCAGCCCCCCGCAGAGGCCCTGACGGCTCAGGCACTGCTGTGCAGGAGGACTGCTAAGTGCCTTCTACTCTCCATCCTCCCCTTCTTCCTTTGAGTAATGAGACTCCCCTGCCCACCGCAAATCAAGAGTTTTGATGGGTGCATGGCCACCCGGTTAGGGACCACATTTCTCAGCTTCCCTTGCAGCTGGGTGTGGACATGTCTTGGTTTTGGGCAGTGATGGAACAGTGTGTTTAAAAATAAAATTGCTTGTCCTCCACGCTCACACTTTCTCCCTTCCTGCAGACAGGAACATGGATATGGAGTGACTCCACGTTGACCATGCTGAAAAGTACAATATCGAAGGGAAAGAAGGAGCCACAGGTGGAAGGGACGTGAGTCCCTGAGCTGTCTCTGCCAGCTTTGAGCAGCCTGAGCGCTAACTACAAGAAAAATAGACTCCCATCTTATTTCAGCCACTGGATTTCTCAGTCTCTCTCTCTCTTTCTTTTAGCAGCTCAGCCTGCAACTACCCAGTATGGCTGCTTTGGGTCATTCTGGATGGGGGAGAGAGACAGTAGGGGAACTCGGGCTGCTCTGGCTTAGTGTCCTGAAACTTCTGTGCCATTTGCTTTTGTTTACAATCCGAAGGCAGCCCCACCCAAAGAAGAACACCATTCCCGATGTTCACAAGCTTCCAGAAAGGCTCCATGGCACACGGAACACCTTATGAGACCAAACACACAGTGAGTTCAGAGGAACCTCTGCTGTGTCATGCGGCCACCCTGCCCCCTTTAAAGCTAATTTTCTTGGGGACCGATCTCTGTGTGCCAGGCATTGGTTAAGTCCTTTCAATGCCCAATTTCTCTAACATCTCACTTATGACGTACATACAATAATTTGCTTGTTCTACAGCTGGGGAATCTGAGGCATGTCAGTGGCCCAAGGTCATAAAGCAGATCTGACTCCTTAACTCTATCTTTTAGCCCCTGTGCTGCTTCCCCTGCCTTTTTTTTTTTTTTTTCTCTTTTATTTATTTTCCCCCTCATTCTTCACCAGGATGATTCCTACTTACTACTCTACTTTCAGTTTAAGTCATTTCCTCGGGGAAGCCTCGCTCTACCCCGGGCCAAGGCTCACAAGCTGGGGTGCTTGGTGGGTAATGGGAGATGCAGGCTGGTGACAACCATGGTCAAATGGTGCACTCACACCCTGTGTAAAGGGGGCACCCAACACCCTGCTTCAGCTGACTCCTGACCAGTATAAACATAGGCCCTGGATAGCCAGATCCCCCAGTTTTTCAAGAGAAGCCAGAAAGCTAGGTTCATACGAAATCCTCGGAAAGTTAAGCATTGGTAACTAATTAAATATGTCTGGGGGCTGCATCCCATCTGTGGGTTTGAGACCGCCCACCATGATAGGCTGCCCTGGCATCCTCAACACTCTGCCTTTTAGCCTCTTGGCACTTGTGATTCCTGTTCAGTGTCTGCCTCGGATGGGAGCCTGGGCCCACCATGGTCACTGCTGAGTCCCAGCACTGCCCGGCCCAGGGCCCGGCACATAATAAAACCTGTCGACTTAACAAACAAAGGATGTCTGAATCCCAGCTGTGCCAGGGGAGGGTGTGGACCCCTCACCCTGGAGGACTTCATAAAGAAAGACTCACCTTGTGAGCCATTTAAGATGGCCCTGTCGCTTCACAGAAGATGGCTTATGTCATCACTTCCTGGCTGCCCGGTTTCTCAGCGGGCTTTGGGGCATTGAGATTGTGAGGGGGGCTGTGGAAATGTGCTCTAAAAGCACTGCACCAACAGTAGGCACGGGGGTGGGCGTGGGACAGAGAGGATGTGGGTAAACCATGTAGCCTGGCACAGTGCCTGGCACGGTCACTGCTCAAGAAACGCAAGCTGCCGTCAGGATTTTGGGAGGAAGACCTCTCATGTTTAAGAACCCAGGCCCTTCACTCTCTCTGGGCCCTGGGCAAGTCCCTTTACCTCTCTGGACCTCAGCTTCCTCATCTGTGAATCGGGGGTGATAACAGTATCTCCCTCACTGGGCTTTTGGGAAGAAGAAATGCAAGGTTGTGCAAGGCTGCAAGCAGTCAGACAGTCGGCCCCCCACGAATGGCCACTTTTGCTATTACTACAGGGTAGCACGCATGCGACTATTCAGTCCGCGGTCACTGAGTGCCTGCTGCACACCAGACGCTGGCCTAGGTGCTGAGGACACAGCGGCAAACAACAAATACGTACACATACACGTCAGGTGGTGGTAGGGGCTATCGAGAAAATTAAAGCGGGGAAAGTGGGTGGAATAAGCTCAGGGCCGAGTTGGGGAGGGGAGTTTGCAATTTTGGATAATGAGGCCTCACTGACAGGTGACATCTGACTAAAGGCATATACAAGGGGAGGGAGCCATGTGGGGAGGAGGGAGTGTTCCAGCAAGAGGGCACCGTCAGTGCAAAGGCCCTGAGGCTGGATGCCTGATGAGCACACTCGGGCAACAGCAGAGGTCTGTGTGCCTGGAGCAGAGAGAGCAAGGGGGGACAAGAGCAGAGAGGCTGACAGAGAGGCCATGCAGGGCCTCAGGGGCCACCGTAAGGAATTGGGCCTTTACCCAGAGTGAGCTGAGGGGTTTGAGCAGAGAAGTGACATGATCGGATCCCTCTGACGACCTTACTGAGAAGAGACCACAGGGAAGCAAGTGTTGATGCAAAGGAGACCAGCGAGGAGGCTACCGGATAGGCCAGGAGGGGCTATGGAAGGGGGAGAAGTAGTGTAGCCTGCCTACTGGAGATGGAGCTGACAGATTGGATGTGGGTGTGAGAGAAAGAGGAGTGAGGCTGATGCTGAGGCCTCTGATCCCACAAATAAGTGATGGGCTTGTCCTCTGCTGACACAGGAGAACCCTGGGAGGCATGGGGATAGGAAACTAGGAGCTTGCTCTTAAATCAGATTTTTTTTTTTTTTTTGCGGTACATGGGCCCCTCACCGCTGTGGCCTCTCCAGCTGCGGAGGACAGGCTCCGGACGCGCAGGCTCAGCGGCCATGGCTCACGGGCCCAGCCGCTCCGCGGCATGTGGGATCTTCCCGGACCGGGGCACGAACCCGTGTCCCCTGCATCAGCAGGCGGACTCTCAACTACTGCGCCACCAGGGAAGCCCGGAGCTTGCTCTTAGACATGTTAAGTTTCAAGGTCGAGTGGAGACGCCGGGCAAGCAGTTAGTTATCAGCCTCAAGTCTGGGCACAAACAGGTTTTGGAGTCAGAAAAATCTGGATTCAGATCCCAGTCTGCCACCTACTGTATGACCTTCTGTGAGTATCTATACCTCTCTGAACCTTGCATTTCTCATCTGTCAAGTGGGGATAAAAACAGTGCCTACATTCCACAGGGTGGGTGAAGAACTGTGAGGTCATGCACGTAAATGGCTCATTAGCACAGAGTCAGGGTTCAGTCATCTCATTCAACTAACCAACTAATCAGCATTTACTGACCACCTACTACGTGCCAGCTCTGATCTGTGCATATGAGATAAGCAAGTGAGCAAAACAGTCAGAGGCCCTCGTTCACGGACCTCACATCCTAATGGGAAATCTACACACAAGCTACTGTGGTAGTCTAAGGCGGGGCATGAATTTTGGAGTCAGGGAAGCTGAGAGCAGGGCTTTACCGATCCAACTGAACTCAAAGAGCAAGTGCAAAGGCCTAGAAGGGTGAGGACAGCCAGCTGTCACAGTGGCCTCTGGAGGTCACGGCCTCCCAAGTCAGGCCAGCTTGCCTGGGCCACATAACTCATTCAATCCTTAAAACTTTTACATGATGTAGGATGATTACTGTTCCCATTTTTCAGATGGGGAAACTGAGTCACCCAGCGGTTAAGTAACAGGGTGAGGTTACACAGCTGGTAAGTGGCAGTGCCGGGAGTTGAAGCCAGGCCTTCCGATTCAAGAACCTGTGTTAACTCCCGTGATACACTGCCTTCTCTATTCCACGCATGACATGCCATTCTGCTAAACCCACTGAGAGCCAATCACCGACCACAGCATTCCTCCACACGGGGCTCAGATGTGGCCTTAGTACTTCTTAGCCCAATGCTTCAAACAGCCATTACCAACTAAGTTGTCATGTGACTTGAAACCAATCTGCTACCCTTGGTTTGGCAACAGTCTGAGCCTGAGCTACCGAGAGCTTAGGGTTAAGATTTTTATCCAGACTGTGAGTCTTTGTTTTTTAACAGGAGATGTTAAACCACTCACGTTTATTGTGATTACTGATGTGGAATTATTCCTGCCATATAATTTTCTGTTTGTTTTCTTTTATTATGCTTTTGTATACTCCCCACCACAACATCCTGTTTCTGTCCTATATTTTAATGGTCTGGAAACCTTTCATTCTGTTTTAATTCTTCTGGAAAGTATCCTTACATTTTGAACATGCGTTTAAACTTATCTTTCCTATCAACATCTTGAGTGAGTAAATATGCCTTTTGTCCTCCCAAGGTGATGGCACGGAGAGCCTCGGGCACCTTCCCCAGAAAGAACCCAGGCTGTGGGACCCACTAGACCCCTGGTGTGTAAGTGACAATTCTGATTCTCTTGGGGCCGATGAGTGTCCTGGCCTAACTGACTGGGCTCAGGGAGGCATTCTGGTGGTTCCTAAGGCCTCTGCCAGACCACAGAACTGCAGCACCCTTGAGAAGCTCTCTCCCTTACCTTCAGCCTCTGGACAATTTCCCTTATGTCCTCCACAGAACCTTCAGAGGCCTTTAGGAAGATGTGGTCCCCTCGCCCGTAGAAGATTTTGAGCGTCGAGGAGTCTGGGGTCCAGCCGATGACATCCCCGCAGTAGCAGTTGAACACCACCTCCTTGGTGCGTAGATCCAGGAGCACCACAAACTCGTTGGAAATTCCCAAAATGCAGTCGATTTCTACCCCCTGGGCGAAGTCCTCAGCCGCCACCCTCCAGGCGATGGCCCCAGCGCTGTGCTGCTCAGCGCCTGCCCGGGCTTTTGTCTTCTCCTTCTTCTTGGAGGTCAGGGAGATGAGGTTGAACTTGCCGGTGGAGTCAATGGGTGTGTTGGAGACACAGTTTTCAGCCAGGTCCTTGAGGTACTCCTGGCGGGTCCTGGTGGCCATGGTGTGGAACTTGTCGGACTTGTGCGCGGCATTCTCAGCATTAATCACCTTGGCCAGCAAGAAGTCTCTGAAGACATCAGATTTGCGGAATGTGGTTCCACTGGGGATGGGGGGTCCGAAAGGAGGAGCGTCTTTGGATCGGGTCACAGCCATACTGAGGAGGGAGAAATTATTTAGATGGTAGAAAGACAGGCACTTGAGAGTTCCTTTAGAAAGACAATACATGACCAGAAGGAGGAGTTTCCTTTCTAAGAACGGAAGTCTACGGCTAACTAGTAAGTTGTCAGCCGACTAGACTGGAAACTGGAGAAAGTCTTAGGGCACATGCATGCATTTTTACTTCCTATACAACAGATGTTAGAACATCCACTGATATTCAAAGGATAATTTTCCTAGCATTGTTCAACTTCAGTTTATCTTGTTTTACATACATACAGGCTTGCGGTAAATTATAGTTTGGCAAAAATTCACCCCTTCCTCTCTACATTTGTGGGCAGGTACATCCCCACCCCACTGAGCCTGAGCCTGGTCATGTGACTTGATGTGGACAATGGCTTTCGAGCAAAGGCACAAATGTGTGTGTGGACCAGGCCTGCCTCCTATGCACCTGCCCTCGCCGTGACGTGAACATGCCCCTACTGGTCCAGGAGGGTGAGGACACCTGGAGCAAACCTGCAGCCAGGGCCAGCCAGACCTCAGCTGACCTGCAGGTGTGTGAGCCAAGAAGAAATGATAATGTTTGTGAGCCACTGAGCTTTGGGGTGGCTTGTTAAGCAGCAGTATTGTAGGAACACCTGAGTGACATGGAACGTTCTGTGAGTTACTCCTTTCACACACTTGTGTAAGACCAACACACTGTGCAAATCATCTCTACAAAGGCTGTTCTGAAAACTCATTGTATGGGGAAGTCAGGATGGGGCTCTTCCTACTTCAGTTTTGACTGAGATGCTATTATGATCGAAATCAGATAGCAACTGGGTGAGAAAGTAAAAAGGAAATGATCTAAAACCTGTTCCCCCAAATAACCTTCTCACCCACTATGCAAATTAGAGAGGGAAGATCTCATTGGGAGGAAAATCTTTGGAGAAAGTGGCCCCATGAATAGGGGCTGTCCCTAGGTGACCCTTATATTTGGGAGGAGACTTGGGTCTGCTCCTGCCTGGGAGATCTAGAAGGTGGGCAGGGAGCCCCCGCAGAGCCCAGAGAGCACGCAGCCAGCTGTGACCAGAGCCCCAGTGACATTTCCCTGTCTCCCGTTTTCTCCTTGTGCTCCAACCCTGGACAGGTCAGAAACTGGCAGTGAGCAGGCCTGGGAGAGGGGAAGTGCAAGGCGGAGAAACAGAGGACAGGGAAGCAGGCTCCCCATCCACCGAGGTTCCCAGGCAGAGGCAATCCTGAGCTGGGAGGCAGGAGATTTGCTGATAAGTCAAGTTTAGACTTGATGAACCTCGTTTGTGACATTCGAGACTCAGTGGCTGGCTACAAGTTAGACGATTTCTAGTATTAGGCAGAAAGGCTATAGCACCTGCCAGAGTGAACACCCAGGGTGCAGGGGAAGACAACTCTCAAGGAAAGACATTTAAAGGGGCTCCAGAGACACCATGAGTTGTGCTGTTTACATAATGACGATTAAAAAACAGTATGAGGTGCTGGAAACGAGGTTTTTCTTAGAGAGTACTGCATTCACCTTCTATAAAAATGTCAGCTTGTGATTACGGTGCTGGGAGAGGTTTCATACCATAAGACAATTTTTAAAATAATGAGATTCTTGATTAAAACCTGTTTTGTGAAACCCAATCACAATGAAAGGCTTGTTCAGGTTTCGACTCCCAAGCTCCCACCCAACTTGACAAGACGACAGGGTGACATTCATGCATTTGTTTGACCAGCGCTTCTGGGACGCGCCCCCTCTTGGGCCCTGGGGATTTAGTGTTCCGGGAAGGCCGCTGTGAGGAAGAGAAATTACACTGGGATCTGCAGCTGAGTAGGAGACAGAGCAAGAGCTAAGGGAAGGGCCGTGCAGGCAGTGGGCACGGGAGGAACAAGGCCCGACAGGAAAGAGCACGCGCAGGGCGAGGTGAGGCCGGGGTGCCCGGAGCCCAGGCAGTGAAGGGTGGAAGGCTGATGAGGTCACCAGGGACCAGGCCAGGCAGGGCCCTGATGGCGAGTTAGCGCTTTTCATCCCGAAACAAGCAACCATTTTACCATCTGGGCTGGCTATTCACCACCTGTGCCCCCAGACGCAGTCTCTGCCATTTTCTGCCCTGGAAGGTGGGTTTCTACAGGCTGTGCGACCTTCACTGGGTTCCCCTGGCCAGGCTACGGGAAGGTGAGAGGAGAGAGGGTGGAGTATTTATTTCTCTTCACTGCCTCCCTGCTGGGCTCGGACGGCGGCAGTGGCTGTAGTCCTGGGCCCTTTACTCAACAGCCACAGCTTCTGCTGTGCAGCCCCTCTCCCAAAGCCATAGTTCTCCCTAGTTTCCAGAAACTTCTCCCATTCCCTTCTGACCTCATCCCTGGGGGTGGGGTAATGGCTCCCTGCTGTTGCTGGTCCCTGGATGTCTCATTTTCCTGTATTGGTTCCCTTAACATACCCACACCTATTAGTCTGTTCATTAATCCCTCAGTTAAAACCCAGAGTGGGGGGCACCTGCTTCTTGCCGGTCCCTGATGAATGCAGGTGCCAGGCTGACAATCTGTAAGGATCACCGTGGCCGCCCCATGAAGAAAGGGATGGGCGGGACCAGAGAATGTGCAGGAGACCATGGAGGGAGCTACTGCAGACTCAGGTGGGTCAGGCCAGACCCCTTGCTCTCCACCTCCACGGTTCACTGGGCAGTGAAACCTTCTCTACATCCCGGGAATGTGTGTGGGCGGGTGCGACCCACCTGGGCTCAGCTGATGCCCCAGAGCCAGCACAGGTGTTCAATACCGATTAAAGTAATGATTTAAACTTGAACAGACAGACCAAGAAGAAACAGATTCCTACCAATGGGTAGGTTTGACAGAAAAAGGCATTTCCCGGTGGAGAGGTTCTTCAAAGGCCACACAAACCAGGCAGCTTTTCCTCTGTGGGAAATCCTGTGGGCGTGGCCTTGCCTCCAGGCAGGTGGATGGATAAGACAACCTCGCCAGTCTCTCTACTCTAATTAAAGCCGTGTTCAGACTGTGCTTTACAGATGTGAATGGCTCTGCAACTTCTTCATTCTGGACGTGGCTGCTTATAGTGACAGATTTGGGCTCTTCCCATAGTCCTGATTCATGATTTTAAGAATTATGAAACTGCAAGCTGCCGAAGGTTTCTGGACAATCAGAACAGCTGGTCCCTCACTTCCCCAGCAGGAGGGATGGGGTTTCCCCAGCCCACAGGCTGCAGGGATGCTGGTGCGCTATGCAGAAAGTACGCACTTGAAGCGAGCGGCAAAGGGCGGCACCTCCTTATGCAGCCAGGAGATGGTGCGACCACCAGGTCACCTGGTCGCTGTAGCTCAGTATTTCTAGAACACTCACAATTATTTATTCAACAACTATCTTCTCAGGGCCTACAATGTTTGGGCCAGGCATGTGTCTAGTTGGCAAAGGCGTCTTTGCGGTCCTCTACATGGCAAGCGCCGGGCCAGCATAGATGTATGAAGGTGAGTATGACGTGGGGTTACCCTCGAAGGAGGCGAGAGTCACATCAACAGTTTGTTCCTACAGGGTGATGAATGCTGAGACAGAAACGTGTTTGGAGACACCGGGGCGGGGGGGACAGGGGAAGGTCAGTCCAGAGAGCAGCTGCGTGTGGGGAAGGAGAGGAGGGGAAGAAAGGGGTTGCAGGAGGGGCAGCTTTGGTTGTATCTCTAACATTTTCTTTCTTCAGAAATAAAGGGAGAGCTGAAGCAAATATGGCAAAATGTTAACATCTGTTAGATTTGGTGGTAGGCACATGGGTGTCTGTTATATTATCCTCTGTACTTTTCAGCATGTTTAAAACATTACATAATAAAAATATTTCAAATTAAACTGCGAAAAAAAACAAGAAAGCTTCGAGCGTCAGAAAAAAAGAGATCATTCTGGAAACCACGTGAAGGCCGGCCTGGAAAGGCAGGAGGTCAGCCGCAGGCTCCTGCGATAAACCAGGTAGGAGAGGGGAGCTCACAGTTAGGAGAAAGGGGAGAAAGGCCCACCCAGCAGCCCCCAGCTTCTGATGTGCTACAGGAGGGCTGTGTCCTTCTGTGTCTGCGTGTATGTGTGTGTGAGCTCGAGAACAACTCCATCTTTGCTCACCAGGGCTACCTTTGAGCTGCTGAGGAACATCGACAGCATCTACGTAACCTCAGGCCCACATGGAGCCTGGAGGTGCAGGGCCTCGTAGCTGCTGCTCCGTCCCGGGAACAAATGGGTGGGGGTGAGGGAGGGGGGCTGCAGGCCTGGACCTGGGCCATGTGAAGGCCCTGCCATGCGGTGTACTGGCTCCCAGCGGCCACTGGGCAACACATCTAGCCTGGTGGTCAAACAGCACGTCCTGCATATTGGAATCCACCTCCCTTCTCTCACACATTTGGCCAAGAAGAAACTGGTAGATTCTGGCAATTCCACTGAGACCACCCAGTGTACCTACGCACATACCCTTTGGCCCAGTAACTCCATGCTCGGGACTTTATCTATCCCAGCTGTGTACTTGGACGCGTGTGTGATGACAGTCTAAACTAGGTTATGGAGACTTCCCTGGCAGTCCAGTGGTTAGGACTCAGTGCTTTCACTGCTGAGGGCCCGGGTTCAATCCCTGGTCAGGGAACTAAGATCCCACAAGCAGCACAGCATGGCCAAAACACAAAAACAAAAAACAAAAAACCCCCACAAAACTAGGTTATGCACTGCAGGGGGGGAGTGTAACAGCAGGCAACAGGAAACAACCCAAACACCCATTGATAAGGGATGGGGGGAGGTTCTCAGGCATCCACGTGATGGACTAATAGGCAGTCATAAAGAAGGAAGAGGCACTTTAAGGACTGGTGTGCAAAGTTCTCAAAGGCTGTTGAGTGAAGAAATACAGGATGCAGAACAGTGTGTGGGATACGGAACCACGTGTGTTAAAAGGTGGAAAAGGAATACTTGTAAGCATTTGCCTGTATGGCCCGAAGGCATCAGGATACGTTGAGAAATAGCTAATAGTAGTTGCCTCTGTGACAGGCAACAGGGTGGTTGGGGGTCAGAGGTGAGAGGCCAGAGAGCTTTCCATTTGTCCTTTGGGGGCCAGCCACGCCCCCAGGTGAGAACTGGTGCTTTGGGAGGACGCTGAATGGGTCTGAGGCTTGTGTCACTTCTCGATCTGCGAACTAAGAGAAGCCTCAGCTCTGCCTCCCGAGGGGGGCCCCTGCCTGCCCTGTCTCCATCCTTCCATATTCCGATTTTCCTGTGCCTCTCAGCCCATGCGCCCTGTGCCCAGGCACAGCTGGTGGTCTTACTCTAGCATGGGCACGTGACCCCAAGCAGGTCAATGAGCCTCAGTCCTGGGGCTTCTTTTCCTGGGAAAGGAAAGCTGTCTTTTTGCTGGATTTGCGGCTGGGAAGATGTTAAGCTTGGAGCTGCCAGCAAACGAAGTGACAGACAGGGAAGTGGAGCACATCCGGCTAGGCCTGAACGTGTCATTTATGAGAACCAGCGTACATAACTGCCTTTTTGAGGTGGGTTTTCTGTCACTTGCAAGCAAAAGATTCCAGGCAAATACAAATCCCTGATGGTTTGCTTATCGAAACTGGGGTGACATGCCCCTTTCTGGTTAAGAATCACTCTCTCAGAAGGTGTGGGAAGGTGTGAACAGAGCTCCCCTACTGAAGCACAAACAAGAAACGCAGGAGGCAGCCCACCTGGGCCAGCTGTCCCCCCGCTCTCTCTCTGCCGCACGCTGCCTGGATGCTGGAAACCAGCTTCTGTGGTCTCCGGTGCATGCAGGGTAGGGTGCAGGCGCGTACCTGTAGCAGACGCTATCGGTGCAGGGCTTGTGGACTCGGACAATGATGAAGACGTGCTGAAAGTGGGAGCGGATGTTCTTGGGGGTGAAAGGCAGCGCCCCGGGCTCCTGGAAGATGATTGTCACGATGTCGTTTCCTATGTGCCTCTTCCTTAGTAGCTGGTAAACGGCGGGGAGAGGAAAACGTCATGGTCAGCTCAAGGCTCACGATCCGCCCTGTCACCTCCCTGCCGTCTCTTTCAGGACTCCCCCTCGCTCACTCTGCTCCAGCCACACTGGCCTCCTGCTGCCCCTCAAACACTCCAGAGACATTTCCTCCTCAAGGCCCCTGCCCTGACTCTTCCCGCTGCCTGGAACGTTCTTCCCCCAGATCCCCACATGGCTCACTCCCGCCCTCCCTCCTTTCAGGTCTTGGCTGAAAGGTCACCCTCCCACAAGGCCTTCGCTGACTGTCTTATCCATGATGTCACCCCCTCTGCTTTTCTGCCTTTATTACTTAACACTCGTTGACACTTAGCGTACAGCGGCTTCCCCTCTTCCTTTTGTTTCTTGTCTGTCTTTTCCCACTACCATGTCAGCTCCGTGAGAACAAGGGTTTTGTCAGCTTTGTTTGCTGCCCCCTGCTGTATCCTCAGTGCCTAGAGCAGAGCCTGGCACACAGCGGCTGCTCAAGAAACATCTCTTGGAGAAGAGCATGGGCTGGCGGCTTTCGACTTGCTCAAGGCCATGCTCACAGACGATGGCAGAGTCAGACCCGAGACCACTGGCAGGGCCCATCCCTGCTGCCGCCCCTTCTCGGACACCTGAGTTGAGAAGGCTGGGGTAGCAGCTTCAGACCAGCCCACAGGAGCCCTGTCCTTTCTCCCCTGCCTGTCACGGTCTCTGAGAAAAACTCTGTCATCTTTGTAGGCAATGATGTACTCACGACATTTTACTTGTTTGCTGAAATTACATTGTTCTTATTTGTACAAGTTTAGTCTTCATGTAACTGTTAGGAATCCCCATTGGCCACGTGAGGTCCGCAGATGGGAGACACATGTAGCTCTACATGAGGTGGCCCGTGGTGTGAAATCCAGTCACACAGAGTGGCACAACTCACACTGTTGAACTCTTAGCTCTTTATGTGTGTTTTACACTGGATTAAATTAAATTGCTAGATAAAGTACCCATTTACTGTGGCCGGCCCTGTACTAGGCATTTTACATCCACATCTGAAAGCTGCAACCTCGTTTCATCTTTTTTTTTAAATTTTTATTTATTTATTTATTTTGGGGCTGCATTGGGTCTTCTTTGCTGCATGCGGGCTCTAGGGTGTGCGGGCTCAGTAGTTGTGGCTCGCCGGCTCTCGAGCGCAGGCTAAATTGTTGCGGTGCACGGGCTTAGCTGCTCCACGGCATGTGGGATCCTCCCGGACCAGGGATAGAACCCGTGTCCCCTGCACTGGCAGGCGGATTCTTAACAACCGCGCCACCAGGGAAGTCCTCGTTTCATCTTTACAACAAGGCTGTGAGTCATTAACTCATCCTACCTCCTTTTACCGATGAGAAAAGTTAGGTTCCCGGGGGTTAAACGTCTTGCCCTAAGTCACACAGTCATGGAGGGAAACAGCCAGGATTTGAACCCGCTTCTGCTGGACTCCACAACCCAAGCTTTGCCCACCATGCCTCCCAGACGTCCAGGAGTAGGTTTCTGTCTGCTTCCTGTGCGCCTCCCATGTCGGGCCCTGACTCAAGCCCCAGTTTCATGCATGAGTACAGGGTCCTTTCCCAATGACCCTGAGACATGGGTGCTACCATTCCGCCCATTTTACAGAGGAGGGATCTGAGGCTCAGGGAGGTGAGATTACACAGCTAGGAAGTGGCAGAGAAAGAACTCCAACCCAAGCCTAATGACAGCAATGCTCTTACAGCTGCTATTAGGTGAACCTTCTGAAATCACCGATATTTGACCATTTTCGGCCAGTAAAATCTACAACATCACCTGTACCAATGGAAAAAAATATATACACTAAACCATAAGTCTGTGGGGTTTCTGTTCATTAGAAACTGCTCCCGGACTGAGCATGCATGGCGTGTCCAGGTGAGGAGGCTCCTGGTGGTAGGCGTCAGCTGTTGCACCCACCTAGCACCTCCTCCTCTTCCTTCTGGCAGCCGTGTCCATCCCCTTTGGGAAAGCACCTCCCTGATCTCTGTCAACGTTTCAAGCTGAGCTGACCTCACTCGCCCTCTCTAGGGGTGGGCATGTCCTTCAGGCTTGGCCAGTCAGCCCATTCCATCCCTGCCCTGGGCCTGGCAAGTGAGTGGTCCAATGAGATTCATTCCTGAAACGTTTCTGGGACTTCTGCAAGGCACAGCTCTCTTTCTCCCGCGGTAGCAAAGCTGGTGGGATGTAAGGCGAGGGCTGCTGGGGGGCGACTCTGCACTACTTGGGAAGATCTGTGAATAAGGCCACTACGGAGAAAAGCAGAGGCGAGAAATGCAAAGAATTCCTAACATTGTTTGAGCTCCTGGATCCAGCCATACCTAAAGCCAGCCCTCTCCCAGTACTTGAGAATTACCTAACCCAGTAAATCCCATTTTTTGCTTTTGCCAGTTTGATTTGTGCTTCTATCACTTGCAGTCGAAATAATGTTGACTGATTCACTTTTTTTTTTTCCATAGGATCCCTGATGACTCAAGAGACTCTTGAGGGGAGTTGGGGTAGAAGGATGGCCAAGGAAACAGAAGAAAACTGACAGTGAATGACACCTGACCTAGTCTCCAACCCCCAGGTGATGAGACCGTGATGC